AGGCTGGGGCAGGTGGGGCAGGGGGCTGGGGGAATTGGCTTGTCTTCCTTGACGTGGGGCAGGAGCACTGGGCTGGCAGGTTAGACTGCTCCAGGCTTGCCAGTCATGGATGCTGCCTTGTGCTGCTCTGTCTGCCCTGGTTTCTCTAAAGGCGATGCCACAGGCTCAGGCAGTGCCACAGGCTCAGGCAGTTTTGTGGGCTCCTTACCTGTTGGAGCAAGTGATCACTGTAAACCTTAGGATTGCAAGCAAAGGCAGAAATCTCAGTGAGAAAAGCCAGATGGCCCGGGGCCTGGCTCTAGCTCTAAACCTGACAGCCAAGGCTCCTGGAACTCCTGGGGTGCCCTGGAGATGACATCCTGGCGACTCTTCTTCTTCCTCTTGTCTCTTATCCTCCTTTTTTCCCCTTCGTACCCCATCCATCATCCTTCCTGTCCTGCTTTTTAACATATACCTTTTAAATGTTTATTTCTTCATCTACTTGAAATGCAGGGGGAAAAAGAGATCTTCCAACCTCTGGTTCACTCCTCAAATGCCCATGACCAGCATGGAAGCATTCAACTAACAGCCATGGCCAGGCCATTTATTTATTTATTTGCAGACAGAAAAGTTTATTTGCGAAGGAACCAGGTGAGCAGGGAAAGGAGAGGGAAGGGGAAAGCACCTCTGGAGAGAAAGCCGGGATGTTGGGTGCCTCTCGAAAGAGGAAGGAGAGCGAGAGACACCCCATGGCCAGGTTCTTTGATGAAGGAAAAGAAAGGACTCAGCAGACCTTCCAGGCAGCAGGAGTGGGATGTGCAAAGGCCCTGGGGCATCATTTCACTCTGCCAGCAGCCTGAGTCACTGGTGCAGGGGTGAGTTGGGCCTGCAACTCACACATGGGAGGTCTCTGCTAAGCGCCAATTCCTCATACCTTTGTTCTCTGACTCATTTGTCAGCACCCCTTCAATCTCAGTGGAGGGATTTTCCCATTAAGAAACTTTGCCCCATATAGACACTTTGCCCCCCATAAGAAAAAAGTTTCTGAAGCTTGCAGACAACTCAGTAGAAAGGTCTTGCCTCTCATTGCTGTACTGGGGTGTTGTCTAAAACATCACTGAAAGATCCATTCTCTCTGTTGGGGCAAACCCCCGAGCCTGGCTTGGCTTTTGGGCTGGGAACTCGGCTTCACAAAGCCAGTTGCTATGCATACTAATGTGTAGAGTTCTGTGCCCAGTACAGGGGCAATCCATTTCTCTCTGGTAGAGAGAACTCAGAAGATATGGTTTTAGTGTCTGGCAGAACATGAGCCAGTTTTACGTCTAACCTAAAAATTCTCTTCTCGTTTTCCTTTGTCAAAATCCTATAAATGCTGTCTTAGTCCTGGAGCCAGCTCACAGTCCTGCCGCCTTGCAGTCCTTGGGCTCCTCCTGTGTCCTTGTCCCTGCCTGCCATTGCCTCAGTCTTGCTTGTCCCCATGAGCTCATTTGGGTGTGGCCCATTTTGCTGTCAACATTGTGTCCTCAGACTTTTGCACTGGCCAGAGAATGCGCACATACTCAGTATGCAGTGGGAGGAGCTTGTGCATGTGTGACACCAGATTCTGTCTGGTTTTGAACCTCGGGGGGCATGCATCTTCTTTTCTTTTTAAAGATTAATTTCTTTGAAAGACAGAACTAGAGATTGAGAGAGATGTATCTACTGGTCCACTGCCCAAATGTTGGGACTATGTTAGAAGACGCAGGCTGTGACAACTGGGCATGGGAAGCTGGTAGGCGCTGCCCCTCAGGGAAAGTGGGCGGGCCTCCGTGTGCCCTCCCTGGGCAGGACATTGAGGCTCGCTGTCTTTGCATAAGGGAAACTTTAAGGAGGAACTTGACCAAGGGCAAATGCTGCCTGGCCCTCTTAGTCATGCAGGTCTGGGCCGTGGAGAAGGGAGCCCAAGTGTTGGATAAGAGAAGCACCCCTCATCTCGTCCACACCCCGACACTCTCAGGCTGAAGGCTGGGAACCTGTGGAGTGCTTGGGCACGACCAAGGTCCTGACTGCAAGATGAGAGACTTGTCCGAATTCCAAAAGTTAGAAGCCTCTGACTACACAGATAAGGTCTAGGGCGAGGACAAGTTCCCTGGGCTTGTGGGTCTAAACTGAACCCAACCAACCTGATTCAAGATAACACTGGGTGAGGCCAGGCTTCCCCCGCCTTGACTTTCCTTCCCTGCAGAATTGGCACAACCATGGCCCTCCAGTAGTTAGAAGTGAACGAGGCAGTAAGAATGACAAGGTGGGACAGGCAAACTCTCTAGTTTCCAAGCCTGGTTCTGCCATGGAACCGTGGGGAATGGCTTCTTACAGGCGAGTGTCCGTGTGCTCACCTGTAAGCCACACAGAGCTCTGACTTATGGTGGTGGTGGTGGTAGGACAAGTTAGTGTTTCTGGAGCACGTGGCACATCCCTTGCCCTGGCTCTCGCCGTTGACGTTGTAGTCAGTTCATGGTGTACGGACCGTTAGCTCTGCGGGTGGACATCAGGCACCCAGGTCAGACAGCAACTTCATGTCTTATCACTATCACTCATCAGCTGTGCGACCCTGCATTAAGTTGCACCACTTCTCTGTGCCTTGCGTGTTACACATCACTGACCTCATCAAGTTCTAAGGTTCCAAACACAGTCAGACCACGTCAAGTGCTGACACGCAGTCAGCACGAGATACTGTTAATGAGCTGTGGACACACGAACAGGATGGTGTAATTAGCACTGTGAATCTGCTCTTGGCAGGGGGTGAGGGGAAGAGGGCACTAACATCCACTGAGCACCTGGCGTCAGTCACACTTGACCTAGATTGTGTGGTGAGGAGGAGCACCTGGTGGGAGGGGCAGGCAGAGTCGCCTGTGGAGGATCCATGCAGGAAGCAAGTCCTACAGCTTGCTGAGGGCCTTCCACCTGCCAAGCCTGGGGCTCAGAACCTACAGTGATGGCACTGGGAGGGGTGTGGTGCTGTCCCATCATGCAGAGGAGGGGGCAGTGAGGTGTCTACACTCCCACAGCCGCAGAGCGGCAGAGCCAGGTCCACACGTGACTGCCTGCATGCTTGCGCCAGCTGTCTGAGCTGGAGGAACTGACGTTTCATGACCATCAGCTGGATCCCCAGCCCTGGGGCCACATCCGCTGTTGTGAAGGACTGAAGTGGACAGCCAGCCTGGAAACCCCCAGGACAGACACACAACAAGAAGGACACGCACACCCGAGGGAGTCCCTGTTACCCAGAAATCTTTATTACAAAAATATTTTGCAAGCCAAAAAGTTTAAGTTGCAACTATATACAAAACGGGGCCTGTTTCCTTCCAGCGGTCTTAAAATAAACTCCCCAAACCACGCTCCTTCCGCAGTGTTCCTTCAACCTCTTCCTCTTCCTGGGCTTCCATACACAAGGTGCAGGGACTCTCCCAGGCTGTCGGGCGGAGGCGAAAGCTTTCTGTCTTGCTTGGTCTTCTTCCCTTCATCCCGCCCCCCTCTAAAAGTGAAAAATAAAACAAAATGAAAATGGCACCAAGAAAACCTTCCTGGAAAATCCTTTGTGTGTACATCATACGCCCACGTGTGCGCATGCACAGGCATGTGCTGTCTAGAAAGCCGCAGGGAGGGAGATGATGTTGGGCATGGCCTGAGCAGGTGGCTGGGTCCCTGTGGCTACTTGCTCCCACTGAGCTCTGGCCTCCGTGCGTGAGTGGAAGCTGCCCATCCGACTGGCTGGCTGGGTTAACTTGTTGCGGCGGTGCCATGGTGAGACCTGCCAGGCCTCCCCTGTGAGCTGGAGTAGCCATGAGCAGAAGCTGGCTTCTTGCTCTGACAGCCTGAACGGAATTCTTGGGCATTGTGCTATGGGGGGGCTGTGAATCTTGGTGCCCAAGACAGAATAAACAGGGGCCTCTAGTACTGCGTGCCCTAAGGCCCAGCCAGGCCTCACACCCAACACACAGGGCCAGAAGGTAAGAAGGTGGCAGCTTCTGCCCAACCTCCTGAGACAGGGACGGAAAGTAGACTGGCCCTAGCTCTCAGCAGCACAGCCCTGGTGGTACCCGGGACCTGGTGCAGTGTGATCCCGACAGGGTGTGAGAGCCCAAATGGGAGGCTCTTCCTTTAGCAATCCATTTGCAGAGCTGGAAGGGGAGGGTGCTGCAGTCTGTAGGCCAACACTGCAGGTGAGGGATGGCTAGGAGGGCATCACTGCCCCCTCCCCTCTTTACAAATGAGCAGACGGAGGCAACAGCTCTGGCCAAGACAGAGAGGTGGCCTGGAGACCCCCTGGACTGGTTGGACTAAGCACAATGGGGCTGTGGAAAGCAGCAGCACACAGCTTGGTGGGGTCATGGTCAAGTCCACAGAGTGGCCAAACAAGCACTCCCTCCTGCTACTCAGGGCTCTGGAAGGCTGTGATTTTGCTGATTTTGCCGTCAGAAAAAAATCCCTCTAGGATGACAAACGGCGACACCTCGGACTGCACAAGATCTGACCATGAACATTAACACAGGACAAAGAGCAAGGAAAATGCTGCTCCAGCTTCAAGAAAGAAATAAACAAAAACAAAAAAACAAAACCAAACCCAAACGCAACAGCACAGATCAAGTTTTCTAACAGCTCAGGTTCAAAATTGCACGTTTCACATTTCTCAGTAATTTACAGGCGTCCCCAGCGAGTTGGTGCTGAGTTAGTGCTAGCTGCAGCGAGCAAGCTCAGGTTGAGAAAGGCAGGGTGGGGCCGCGGGTCCCTGGGGAAGTGCGGAGGAGCCCCCCAAGAGGGGATTTTGTCTTGAGGTCCTTTGGTGGGGGAGAGGAGCTGGGGTGTTCCTCGAGGGATCCCTTCTTCCCCAGGGCGTGTGGCTCATCCGCTGGGGGAGGGCAAGCCTGTTGCAACCCCCTCCAAGTATCAGTTTTGTTTCAGCTTCTCTGTGGGTGGGGCCAAGAGAGCTAAAAGGAAAGATCTCCCCTGAGCCACTCACTGGGGAGGGTGGTGGAAGCTGGCTGTTAATTTCCGCCCCCTGGAAGATCAGGTTTTGTAAGATGCAGGTCTGTCCAGGGCCCCCACAACCATGACTCAGACTCACGCTCTGGAGGACAGAGGCACGGAGAACTCCAGCTTTGGTCCATCTCATTGACTAATTCAGCAACTCCAGTTTCCAGTATGTGGCAAGAATGAGGGCCATGGCTGCCCTGCAGAGACAAGGGCTGGGGACAGAAGAGCCCCACCGCCCGGCCTTCCGGGAACCTGGGCTGGCTGTCCACATCATGGCTGCTCCATGCAGGACAGGAAAGCTCTTGGGGACAGGCCCAAGAGCAGCCGGAAGTCCCATTCACTTCCTCTGCACCTGGACGCTGGCGTACTCAGAGAAGGACTGCTCCGGCTTGGGGGCGGGCGGCTTTGGGGTGCGGTTGAGGTGCACCATGTCCAGGTCAGCATAAGTGAGGGTGTCCTCCGAGGTGACCGGAGGGCCGGTCTGAATGCTGGCATATTCTGTGTGGTTGTTGGGCTCGGCAGCCCTCGGAGCTGTCTTCTTCCCCTTGGGCAGGTTGAGGTCTGCGTAGGTGATGTCATTGATGTCGTTGGTGTCCTGGATCTGAAAAGAGAGGGGCTTCCCCATTAATGGGGTGCCATGCCTCGGTCTCCCCGTGGCCCACCCTCAGGGTCCCTGTTGTCTGTTGAAGGCGTCCTGTCCCCACTTCCCCTGGCATCCATGAGAGACCAAGACCACTGCCTGCCAATCACGATGACACTTCTTGACTCAGAACTCTGGGCCTGAATCTTGTCCTGTTTTCTTGCAGAGGCTTTAGGCAATTCATGTAACATCTCCAGGCCTCAGTCTCCCCGCCACAAGAGTGGGGAGAATGACAGCGTCTCCTGCCAGTATTGCTCTGAGGCTCCAATGAGCTAAGCCAGGCCCAACACTGCAAACAGAGCCTGGCATGGACTGTGCTGCTTTCCATAAGGATTAGCAACCCCTGACCACTTAGCAAATCCAAGTATGCCCCTCATGTGCGGCTCAACGCCTGCACCTGGCATGGGTGCCGTGCTTGCAACTTTGAGGTGTCACACGCTAGCAGCTGCCGACCTCTGTCCCCAGGGCTTGTGAGTGCCACAGTGTCACATGGATGCCTCACTTGGGCCTCACTATAGCCCTGCCTGGAAGAAGTTAATTTACAGGTAAGGACACTGAGACCTGGGGCAGGGACTCGATTTGATCAATGTCACCCCAAGTCTATCGGGTGGTCTTCCTGCATGACTTCTCGGTCTCCAGTCTGCACACACTCACACAAGCTCCTGTGCAGGAAGCCCCAGGAACAGGACACAGGTACCTGGTGGGCACTGGCGCCTGGCACTGGTACACCAGGCAGAAGGCCGCCAGGCCCCCAGAAATGGGGTTGTGCCTCTCCTGCTTGCTGTCCAGGTCCTGGCAATGAGCAGGGTTCAGCAGATGTCAGGGAACAACTCTTTTCACCATCGTCCTTTGCCCCAGAAGGTTCCAGGAGGAAGACCACTGGCAAAATAACCAGGAAGAAGGCCTACCTCCCTCTTGACTAGAGGCCCCATGTCCCTGGGCTGCTGCAGCCAAGGACAGCAGAACAACCCAATGAATGCCTCCAGACACCTCTCCCCAGCTCTGTGCCTTCAGCCCATTAGCAGCAGAAACAGGGACAACTGAGGGGGCAACATGTCAAGGACAGCTGTCGCTTTCCGGCTGCCGGCTTCAGAGTAGGGCCTGACACCACGAGCCCTCTGCTTCTGAGGTCTGACAGTGAAGCAGGCCCGTCCATACTGCCTGCAAGTGCAGGAGAAAACCTACTCTGCGAGGGCGGGGGGGGGGGGGGGCGGTCCTTGTGTGAGGTCACCAATGACACAGTGCAGACTGTCAAAGCAAAGGCACCAGGTTGTTCTGGGCTGTTCTGTGTTGGTGCAGGGCCACGGGAGGGAATGGGCTGGGGCTGTAGGCGGAGGGGCTAGCCCAGGCAGACGCCTGGAGGCAGGGAAGACAGCATTCCCAGGAGCCAGGCTGGGAATGTGAAGAGCATCCCGTATAGCTGTGCAATGGTAGCGTGGAGTAGAGGACACCGCCACAGACACCCTGGGACTGGAGCAGAGGGTGGGGACAGGCAGAGGACTTCTGGGGAAGGAGGAATCTAAGGGCTCCTCCGCCGTTGCCGCCCTCCCGCCCTGGGCACTGAGTCTTAATTTAGCACGGCGATCTGCAGCTCCAGCTGACAGCAGGACATCACGCCGCCGGGCTGTCCCCAGGAGGGGTGTCTCACAGAGGACCGTACCTGGGTTATTTCTCTGGCGTTCTTCTCAGGCTCATGCAACCTAAAAAGGAAAGAGACATGCAGATAAAAATACCCTCACTATCTCGAGTGCTCATGCAAATTGATAAGAATAACATTTAGGCTTCACTTCCTAGCGCTGGGGAGGACAGGGCTGAATGCCTCCTAACAGAAACGCAAGCAAACTGTTTGAACAAGGAGGTGGCTGTTGCTACAGAGGGATTGTAAACAAGGTGATGGTTATTTCTTGACCTGCTGGGTTGGCAGGGACACCATCTTTCCAAACCTCAGACTCAAGTTTAGCTGAGGGTAGGGGTTTCGAGAGTTAACTGACAGACTTGATCACTGCTGGCCAGGGACACAGCCAGGGCAAGCCTTCGGGAAAGCAGTGGTCAAAGTCAAGCACTCAGAGGGGTCTTGAGTCCTTGACTTGTAATTGCAGAATACTGGGCAGAACTGGAAGGAGACAAAAGCTTGCTCTACTGAAATTCTTGTTATTGGGGAAGCGAGGGGGAGAGGGGAAGGGATGGGGAAGGGAAGGAGGGCTACATCTTCCGGCTCTGACACTTAGGGTTGGCTTAGGAAACTGGGATATGCCCGCAGATAAAGATTTTTAAAAATGTATGAGATTTTAAAAACTTGCAAAATGATTACATTAAAAATGATAAGTGGGAAAAGCGGCATTCTCTGTAGGTGATTTCAATTATGAAAGATGTGTGGATAACGCCAGCAGGAAACAGCAAGATGCTAACAACAATCACGATCTTCGTGGGTATTTTCTTCATTTTGGTTTCTCATATTCTCCAAATGTTCTATATTATAAACATCTATGTGCTACTGCTACTACAAGGAAGAACATGGGACCAGCACCGTGGCTCAGCTGGTAACACCACCACCTGAGACACTGGCACTCCCACATGAAACGCTGGTCCCAGTCCTAGCTGCTCTGTTTCTGACCTAGCTCCTGTGCCTGGGACCGGCAGATGGAAAACCTCTCTATCCCTCTGCTTTCCAAATAAATCATAACAAAATCATTATAATAATCTCATAATAAAGGAGCAAAGCCAAGGTGTCCTGTTTAATCAAAGAAGCATTCGTGTACCTGGTTCTGTGCTCAGGGGTAATGGCTGGGCTTAGGAAGGCTCATGGTCAGGGTGATAAGCAGCTGGACAGGGGTCACAGAGAGTCTCCAGTGAGCACCTCAGGATGCAAGCCTGACTTAGGTCAGGAGTGAGCAATGGGGCTTGGTGCAGGGTTACTAATGGACTTGGCACCAGGCTTGGCTCAGAGACCTGCCATGTGGACATGCCTCTTCTCGGCCACCGTGGCCACAGCAAGAGCTCTCCAGGCATGAGGATGGTTCTGGGCGGAGATTCCACAGTCCTGCCAGGGGCTCCCCACAGCCTATCTGCCTTAAGTCCAACTCATCTCCCTGCTCTGAAGGCCTGGGTGGTTTAGCTTGTGACCTTCTCCAGTTAACCCACCCACCGGGTATTCCCAGAGGGCGTCTTAATGCAACACACTTCAGGCTTCAATACCAGCCCTGGATGACTCTGTCCCATCTTCCCTCCAGAAACCCTGGCATAACCCTTCAAGATCCAAGTACAATGTTAGGCTTCTCTGATGGTGCCAGCCTGGATGGGCTACTTTTCCTGATGATCTCACAACTCCTTGCACATTTTCATCTGTGGCTTCTGCAGCTGGCTGTCTGCCAGGCTGTACCCATGGGGAGAGGGGACTCGGAGGAATGCTGGTCAGACTGCCCCAGGGCCTTTACACCCTCAGCCCTCCCTGCCTGGTCATCTGCTTTACCTCTCCTCTTCCCTCAGCTCTTTTTTTTTAAGACTTCTTTAAAAATCTGAAAACCAGAGCTGCAGTAAAGCAGGGAGAAATAGAAATGATTACCTGGGTCACTCCCCAGATGGCCACAAGGCCACAAGGCCAGGCAGAAGCCAGGAGCCAAAGACCTCACCCAGGTCTCCCACGTGGGCAGCAGGGGTCTAAAACCATCCTCTACTGCTTGGCCCTGGCCATCAGCAGGGTGCTGGATAGGAAATGGAGCCGCCAGGACACAAACCACTGTCTACATGGGATGCTGGCATTGCAGGCAGGTCTTTACCCACTACAGCACAGCGCCGGGCCCTCCCTGCTCCTATTGTAAACCATCATTTCCTGGAAAAGCTTCTCCAAGAGGCCGGGTTCTGTTCTCAGAATACGAGATCCTCTTTCAACTGTAGTTCTGACTGTCCCATTACCCACGTTGCCACATCCACCTTCTCCCATATTTCCATCTCGGCCAGCGTCACCACCGCTGCTTCTCCCATGCTGAGGCCAGTGCAGGAGTGTCCCAAAGCTCCTCCCCTCACCCTCCAGCACTCATGGCAAATCCACCAAACAGTACCAAGCAGCCACTGTCACCCCAACCCTACTGGCTCCCCAGGTTCCTCTAGGCCACTCTGTCTTCACCCCTACCACACATTGAAAATGTAGAAACAGTGGGTGCTGGCATGGAGGTACAGTGCATAGACCTGCTGACTGTGGTGCCATATGGGCATCAATTCATGGACTGGCTATTCCAAGTCCCATCAGTGGCCTGGAAAAGAAGTGGAGGATAGCCCAAGTCCTTGGACCCATGCCATCCATATGGGAGACCTAGATGAAGCTTCTGGCTGTGGTCTGGCCCAGAACTGGCTGCTGCAGACACCTGGGCAGCAAATTAGCAACTTGAAGACCCGCCCCGCCCCCCCAAACACATCTGTGGTGACTTTCAAATAAATACAACTCTTTGAAACACAAACATCACCTTGGGAGTAGTGTTATAGTATCTTTCACTCAGAAAGCTCGGCTCTCTCACCATGCCTGCCACGGATTCCATCTCTATCCTGAAGGTGAGGCCCGGCATGGCAAGGTCGCTGCCCCCTCCCTCTCTGGGCTCCAGCTGCCCCAGCCTCCTCTTTTTCATGTTCTCGTCCAACTGTCCCTGCCTCGGGCTGGGCTCTGGCTCCTCCCTCTGTCTGCTCCTGCCCCAGATAGCTCGGCAGCTGCGGCTGGCCTCCCTTCAGCTTCTTCTAAAGTGCCTCTTCCTCAGGCAAGCCTTCTGAGATTGCTCGCTGCACTCTGCTTCCCAGCTGTGCTCCATCCTGTTATGTGGCTCTGTCGGTCACTGCATCGCATCACTTCTGGATCTTATAAGTTTCTTCTGTCACCTGTCTCCCCATGGCCCGTGGGCTCCACATGAGGAGGGACAAGGCCCATCTCACTGACCACTGAGGCCACAACACCTGACATGGAGTTGGCACACTGCCCATGCTCTATAAGCTTCTGTGGAATGAAGGGGCAACCACATCTTCCACTGGACCCTAATAGCCAGGAGGCCAGGGCTATTATGTCTCCTGTCCCTCCCCCCTGGCGAGCTTGAGAGCTGATAGATCTCAGCTGGGCTCAAGATGTGTAAGAAAAAGAGTCCGGGAAGCCCCGGATACTCCAAGAATAAATGCAGCGAATCTCTGATAAGAAAGCGTAGGATGGCTGAACAGGTCCAGGATAAGGCAGCGATCGGAGTTAGGCGGACCCCAACAGGCCAGACACTGCCTTACCTTGGGCACCCAGAAAGTCATAAGCAGCCAAGTCCACCGCTAGCCCCTGCAGGGGGCTCCCAGTAGCGGCCCCTTCTGCCCACAGCCCTGCACACTTGCTGGGTGTGTGCCTATCCCACAGGCCAGCATCCTCTGGAAAAGCATCTGATCGCAGGGAGCTCATGCTGAGGCTGGGAAACCACCAGGCCTGCGTACTGGCACGCAGGCTGAGAGATGAAAGAGAGCGAGCGTTCCCATGGCTCCCTTGACAAACTCACTCTGGAAAAATAAAACCCAGGCTGAAAATGGCAGCAGAAGAGGCGGCAGGAGCTGTGGAGCCGGGGCAAGATCACCGGAGACCGGGGCTGCGGCTTCACATCCCCAACCACATCACAGGGACTGTAACCCACCGGTGAGGCAAGAGCCCAGGTTTGCGGTTTGGCCACGAAGCCTCCGCTCTTAAACTTGCCCCAAACACAGAGTGAGCAGAGCTTCAAGGGTGGGGCCTGGCACCCTGGGTCGGACCCAACCCACCTAGTATCTACTGCGCATGCCCAAGCATGAGATGCCCCGCTCCACACAACAGGGCTAGCACACAGGGGCCCTGGCAAGGATGCGAGTCACCCAGGCGCTAATTGACAGTGAAAGCACAGGGAGGGCAGGGAACATGCAGGCGCTCCACCAACAGCGCCATGATGGCTGCTGTCAGGATGATTTACTGATGCTGCCCACTCCTTCCAGAAATATCTTGTCATGTTAATCAGGATAAGAGATAAGAAGCAACACAGGATTGGTGCTGGGGCATAGCAAGTAAAGCCACCGGCTGCAACGCCGGCATCCCATAGACACTGGTCTGGGTCCCAGCTGCTCCACTTCCAATTCAGCTCCATAATAACGTGCCTGGGAAAGCAACAGAGGACAGCCCTGCTCCCACATGGGAGACCAGGAAGAAACTCCCGGATTAGGTCTGGCCCAGCCCTGGTCAATGCGACCATCTGGGGATTGAACCAGCAGATGGAGGATCTCACTCTGTCTTCCTGTATAACTTTGCCTTTCAAATAAGGAAATAAGTCTTTAAAAATATCTATGATGACAACAGAAAAAAAAAAACAACACAGAACAAAATAAGACATTTGCCAATGATGGAGTTTCAGGAGTCAGAGGAGAGGTGGTTGCTCCAGTGGTTAGGGGTCGTATTTGTGCCTTTATTCACACATCTGTTCATTCAGCCTTTACCACTCTGGGCACAGTGCCATGTTGCTGCTAGCTGTAAGTGTGAGGGACATGGGCCCTGACATCAAGAGGGCTGGGTTATAGTAGGGCACAGGTGCAGAGGCTCCTGAGGGGCCCCAAGATGGATCACAGGAACCCCCTGACCCTGGGGGACACAACCCTCACAGCTGAGCTCACAAGGAAGTGCGCGAGGTGACTAGGGGCTCTCCCTGGCCATCCTGCCAAGAACTCGGCACAACAGGAGGGCCCACGCACACGAGCAGGGGCAGTGGCTGATGTGCAGCACATTGGGGGAAGGGATGATGACAACAGTGATGAGGAAAGCACCTACCTTGTAGAAGAAGTGGAGCCCTTGGCTGGAAGAGAAGAGACACGAGTCAGTTGCTTACCCAGGAATATATTTGTGCCTTTCACATTCTTACTGAGGGCAAAGGAATGGGTGAAATCAGACCTGCAGAACCCAGTTTAGTGGGGGGAGGGGGTTCTCTTGCCTTTCAGGTCCTGCTGCTCCCCAACTCCCAGGAGTCACTCATGGGCCTGCAGTACCCACACCTCTCATGTAGCCGCATACCTTGCTGCAAGTGCAGGGCCCAGGTGGGGCCCTTCCCTCCAGGGGAGCAGCTGTGAACCCTGGGCCTGCCATTGGCCCACTTGCAGGGTGACCCAGGGTGGGTTGTGTCCCCTCTCTGAGCATCTAGACCTTGCAGGCTTGGGCTGGGTGTCCATCAATGTATCTCTCACCATTTCCCAAACTAGCAAGCATTGGTTTGGCTCAGAGACTTAGTGCCAAGACAGATGTTGCTTAACCCATCTTACAGAGAAGCCTGGGTAGGACATATCACATGGTTGGGCAGCCCCGTTCAGGGATGTCTGATTAGAATGGAAGGAGGCAGTGTGCAAAGGGTCCTGAAGGAGGTCCCTGAGTTGGAGTTTCAGCCCCACCACTTACCAGCTGTGAGGTGTTGAGTGAGTTCCTAACCTTCCCAAGCCTCAGTCTTCTTGCCTATAAATTGGGATTAGGTACACTCCTCCAGGGGCAGGCGGGGGTGTTAGTACGGCAAAGCATCACAAGCAGTGTGTGCAAGAGGGAGTGCTGCTGTCACTGCACGTCCCCATGTGAGGGCCGGGCTGTGCGCACAGACTCATGCTCAGCACTGGGGTGCTGATGCCAAAGCCTCAGTAACGAGCTGGCATGTGTCAAGAGCCTGGCGTGGGTCTGGGGCTGAACTTTGGGAAGCATGGCTGGGGTCTCATGATGGTGCTATCACTAATGCATCCTCAGAGTGCCCTCCCATGCGTGTCTGCAGGGACTTTAGGGCAGCTCTGGCAGAACAGCTGGAACCTTCTGCAAAAAACAGGCCTGACTCCAGCCTCCCAGGCAGAAAGCAAGGGCTCAGCCATGTTCTCAGGGCAGAGTCCTGCTGGCCAGCTCAGCAGGGAAGGGGACCCGGGGCAGTGGGGGGAGGCCGCAGAACGGAGGCATCACTACAACAGTTTCAACAGCAAAGAGAACAGGAAAGAACCAGCTCCAACTGCATACAGGGTGTGTGTATGTGTGTGTGTGTGCGCCCACATGTATGTACATGCTGGGTTCAGATGTATTTTTATCACATGGTGCAAAATTGCCTCCTGCAAGAGAACATGCACTGACTGAGGTCCTGGGAGGGGTCAGACCATCATTTCACAAGCACCTATTTGCATTTCCTAATGATCCTGTTGCTTAATCCATTTTATAGATGATGAAATGGAGGTTTGTGGAGGCTGAATATATGGTATGGAGGATATGCAGGGGTCTGGAAGCCTGGGTAGCCTAATTTCAACATCAGAACCCTTGTCATGATACTGTTCCCACCCCCAACACCCCACCCTGCACACCAACTCCATACTCAAGCATGCGTGCAAACGCTCACACACATGCACATAAACACGGGAAAGCTGTTCTTGCTGAAGACGTGTACTTCCTCCTGGGGAATCAAAGGCCATGCACCTAGCTCCTATGAGAGGCTTTTGGGGTGGCTTTTTCTGGGCTCACAAAGAATGCTCAAAGGAGTGGACATTCATAAGCACTTGTCAGGTGCCAGGCCTTCCTAATGTTTCATGTTCAGGGAGGCCTCCCAACAACCCTGGCAGGAGGCGGTGTCATCAGCCCTGCTCCTGCCCAGCCTCCAGGCCAAGGGTCCAGCCCTGACCACTGCACACGGAAGAGCCAAGTACAGCTGGCTCCTGGTACAGCTCTGCTTCCCCTGAGCTGGGTAGGAAGAACCTCCAGGTCCCCTGGTGCTATCCGGGCTGCTCCCTGCTCCTCAACTTGGGGTTGGGATGGGAGCCAGGAGGCAGAGATGGGATGGTTCATCCAGATACCAACATGGCAAGGCTGCCAAGAGCAGCCCTGGCATTGCTATTTCTGATTTTCTGTTACTGAAAGTCACTGATTCTCTTAGCAGCTTGTGGCCACTGCCTCTGAGCAGGACAGCCCAGGACAGGGAAGGGTGGGGGAACTCTTAGGGCACAGGAGGGGAGCACTCACCTTTTTTCTGTTTGATTCTGAGAAGGTAGAGGGCTGCCATCAGCAGGACCACCAGCAAGGCACACACGACACCCACCACAATGAAGATGCTCCAACTGTCAGGTTGGTCTGGAGACCACACAGAGAAGAGACCTCAGGCATGTACATCAACAACAGAGAATTTGAGACCCCTACCCCAGTAACCCACCACCTTGCAGGCAGTGGAGGCAGCAGTGAGCACCTGTTGGCTGGGGCTGCATACCCAAGCACAGGCATACAGGGTCTGCAGCTGCGTGCCTGCAGGCCCCACCCAGCAGGGGACCTACGAGGATGGGCTGCAGGGCAAAGGTTCACTGCTGAGGGCTCAGGAGGAAGCCCAGCACAGGATGTGGGCAGGGATCTGCTTCCTGAGGAACCAAAACCTGTTCCTTCTCACCTGGAGAAAACCACAGAGCGCCCCCTGAAACTCTGAGTCAGCAGGTGTCCGGGTTTGGAGTGGTAGAGGCCGGGATGGAGGGGAGTGGCACCAAGTGGCTGCCCATTGGACCCTGTCGCGTCCTTCGGGCTGACCATGCGCTGTGTAGGGCCACAGGTACCATGTTTGGCAGTCAGCACAGGAGGTTGCACCGTGACCCCTTGGCCAGCCCGAGAGCACAGGACCCTAGCCTGAAGCAATGCCCTGAGCTACTGCTGTGATCTTAGGCTATTTTCTCCCCAAGGATGCTACCTCTGGGTCTCCACGCTCGGAAACAATCTACATCTAATTGGGATAGCTTGGTGGGTTCTCCAGTTAATCACTTCTTCCGCCCTTCCTGCAAGTATTTATGTTGTGCCTACTGTATGCTGGGCCCCCAGCTACAGTGCTGAACTGGGGACAAGCAGGACCCCTCCCAGCTGAAATTAGAGCCCACAGGGTCACAAACTTACCTCCTTTAACATCGCCCTGAGCCAGAAGGGACCCAGAGAGACGCACTGACTTTCCCAAGGACACACAGCAAGTCTGCCACACAGCCAGAATGAACACCTATGGGTCCTATCTCCCTCTGCAGCCCAGGGGACACCAGAAGGCTGCTTCAGCACACCGAGGATGCACTATGGTAGAAAATAGTCTCCATTCCAAGTCCACTGTCAAGGTTGTGCCATGGCATGGTGGCATTGAGCGTCTGACTGCCTGCTTCACTTCCAGGAGGTGCGATACAAGGCTACTGCACCAGTTTATGGGAAAATGGAATTAGAGCCAAGCCTGTTTGAGATCCAGGCATAACTTTTTCGTGATCTACATTTCCGGCATCTTTGGAAGACCCTGTGTATGTGTGGATTTCAGCATGACTGACACTCAAAGAAACTCATCTTTTTATTCCACTTGGCACAAACTTCTTGGAGAACCCAGGTGTTGCAGGAAGGGGCACTGATAAAATGACACTGAAGAACCTAGATGTTTTCTGCCTTTTGTAATTCCTGCCTTAATGGTTTGGCTGGGGCTGTGAACTCCAGGCCTGATAGTCTACGTGACACCCATGACACCCGGCAGGACACCTGGCAGGTCATGTAGGCAGACCACTCCTCAGGAAGAAGGTACCTGGTGTTTGAGAAGATCCACCTCTCATCAATTTGTACTTTTTAAAAGTTGTTTGCTTCAAACTCACCAATAGAAGCCTGCTAAATCATGACTGTATAATTAATAGCCTAATATGTATAAATACGCTGGGCTGTTCAACCGGGGGCTCAGGCTCTCTCTCTCCTTGTGTCCTCCCTGCTGATCCTGCAGCAGGCTCAGCTGTGGCTGCCCCTCCCCTGCCCAGCCCTGCTGAGGTGGGGGAGATGGCTGGGAGACCTAGGTTAACCTGAATAAACCACCTTTATGCCTTGGCACCGACTTCAGACTTGATGATTTTCTGAGGATTTCAAAATCTGGCACAAAAATACTGTAACACCCTCTTTCTCTCTGGGAGAGGAGCTGCAAGCATGTGCTTGAAACAGGCTTGCCCTGTGGCCAGGAAGTGAGTTCCACAGTGCTGCTGGCCACGGCACACGATGCCCATGGCTACAAGCAACCAGAACACCCTTCTTCCTCCCAGCAGGACAGCCTTGCAGTGGGACACAGGAGAGAGGTTAGAGGTTAGAGTGCACTGGGGACACAGAGGAAGGAGCACCTGCTAGGGGAGAAGGCATGAGGGAGGACTTTGAGAATGGGATGGACATGCCCCACCCGCACTGTCACACCTGTTTATGCCAGAGGGCAAACACAACCTACCCCAAGTGCCTAGCCTTGGAGAGAGGGATTTGGTGGAGGGTAGCTGACTTTAAAACTCTCCTTCATGTTTACAGACTTCTAGATAATTCTACAATATGTATGATTACTACTTTCAACATGAAAAAAAAAAAGGGGATGATGAACCAGGCCAGCTGGAGGAATGGCCTCACCCTTGCTGGTATTGGTGTTTGAGTTGGGCTCCTTGGGCTGGGATGAGACCTGCAGTTTGTGGGTTTTGGTGACTGCCGGTTGCCCATCATGCTCCACTTGGCAGGAAATCACCATGTCCTCCCTGTGGACAGAGTTGTTCACCAGGATCCAGCTTGTGCGGTTGTAGGTCCCGTCCTTGTTCTCCACCTCCGTCCAGGATGCCTCTGGCCGGGACACGTTTCCATTCTCCAGCCAGGTCAGCCGCATGCTCTTGGGGTAGAACTTGTCCACGTGGCATGTGACGTTCACCTGGGTCCCTGTCCCCACGGGCTGCTGTGTGACCTCAATGTTGGGGGGAACTGAAACAGCACGAACAGATGCTGGAGAGGAGGGGCGGAATGACTGGGCTCCCACTGCCAGGGTGAGGGCACCCCTGAGACAGGCCAGGCATGCAGTAGGCACTCAAACAGGAAGGGACTAGGCACATGAGTGACGTCACTACACATGGAGAAGACTGAGACAGGGAGCTCCTATCAGGGTGACACCAAGTGATGCAACAAGCCCAAATCCTGGAATCAGGTGGAACAGCCTTGCAGTGATGTCACAAGCAAGGGCCTTGGCCCACACAGGTGCTCCACTAGAACATTTTGCTACCAGTAGGACGAGTGAGTCACCTGCCTAGTGCTTGGCACATGGCAGGTGCTCAATGGCAGCTGTCACTGAGAGGACAGGAAGTGACCAGCACCCCTAGGTGCAAGGTCAGTGGACAGGGCTTCTGGGAATTGGATGCAGCAACTCGGGCTCTAAGCAAAGCCGGCAGGGACAGGCATGCTGGCCAGAGTTGGGCATGGGCAGGGGCATGGTATCTACCTCGGATGGTGTCAGACAAGTTGGCAGTCCCTCGCAGAAGAGGCCCTCCCTGCAGCGTGACGTGGGCCACCTCACAGATGACCTGTGAACGCACGTCCTCATTGGACAGGACCACATGGACAGTGCTGGAGACATTGTAAGAGACGCTCTCTCCTGTGGGCTCCACGCTGGTCTGGAAGGCTGAGAGCTCGTTCCCGTTCTTGAACCATCTCAGGCTGATGTTGCGGGGAGAGAAGCCACGGGACTTACAGGTGAAGTTCACAGTCTGCTTGGTGGCCGCCCTCACTGTGGGGCCCAACACCTCAGGTTGGGAGGGTTTGGCTACAAAAGGAGCATTCAGACAGGAAATAGGATCATGGAGACCGTCGTGGCCACAGGCAAGGAATACGAATGTCACATCTGTAATCATTCTGGGAGGCAAGCCCTTGTTCTGGTTCACAGAGCGGAGTGAGGGGGTAGACGCTCAGGGTCTGACAGTGAGTGAGGGGCAGGGTACTCTGAGTCCCAGTCCTTCCCTGCAAGGCTTGACTCCCCAGCCCTGCGCAGTTCTCTCTCTCTCTCTCTCTCTGATCACTCTTCCCAGCCGCAGCCCCTGAAAATCTTGCACACTTTAGGGAAGGTGTTTCCAGAAGCACCTGCGGGGCAGTGGCTCAGCACTGCTGCCCTCAGATGCGGCACACCACAAACTCCCTGTAACCTGGGTCTGGCTTCTATCCAGAGCTCTCCCTGCAGCGATTACCAATTCTGCATTTCCACAAACATTCCAGCAGGGCCCAGACTTGTGGCCCCTTGGGAAGGGAGGGGAATCTCCTGTTGAGCCCATTGTGAGTTGAAAACAAAGGTCAGAGATCCCAGAAAGCAGAGGTGGTTAATTTCCCAGTAGCTCCCAAGGGCCAGGAACCATAGGCCCTAGCAGGCAGAACCACTTTGTGTCCCTACAAGCACACACGATGTGTGGGTGAATTCCAAGAACCTGGGCAGCCCTCCCTGCAACCAGGTCCTAAAGGGATCTCCACAGCGCTAATGATCACCCAGTGCATTTGCATATATGCATATTTAACCTTCTCTGCAACACCCATCAAGCACATTTGAGTAATCAGTCAACACTGTTGTGAGGGGTGGTTCAGGTTAAGCTGCCATTTGCAACAACAGCAGCAGCATCATACATGGGTGCCAGTTTGAGTCCTAGCTCTCTGTTTCTGATGCAGCTCCAGTCTCACACACCTGGGAAAACAGCAGAAGGTGGCCCAAGCACTTGGATTCCTGCCATCTACATGGGAGACCCAGATGCAGCTGTGGCTCCTGGCCTTGGCCTGGCCCAGTCCTGGCCACTGGGGTCATTTGGGGAGTGAACCAGCAGATGGAAGATACCTTTGTCTGTTTCTCCCTCTGTCATTTATTTTGCCTTTCTAGTAAATCTCTCTCTCTCTCTTTTTTCCTCAATGGTTTTCCTTGAAAAAGTATGTGGATAACAGACACTACAGTCAGCACTTGGAATCTGTGGATTCCATAGAGAGTCCCCATCCACGGCTCCATAGGCTATGGAGAAACACTGTGCCACTGTATGCCAGGGACTGGAGCATATTTAAAATGGACACCCCCCATCTAACAGGTATCAAGTCATAACTCTAGTCATCATCTGCTAAGGAGGTCCTGGGGCCTGATCCTGGCTGCCAACACCAAGTCCAGTAGCCCTATAAGGTGCGAGCCTGGGAAAAGTTGGAAGGGACAACATGGCTGGCCAACAGTACATAGGTGGTAGAGGATTCGGGGGCTCATCTATTCCCACGTGGGCTGATTTTAGCATCTCAGTTCTTACCTTTCCAAAGCCCCCAGTGTCTTTTTCTGCCCAAAATTGGTAAAAAACAGTACTCTTGTAAGAATGAGGAGGGATGCAAGGCACAGAGGCTAGCATACAGGAGGTACTTAATAAAGAACAGTGCGACCATGCACAGGCCTCTCCCGGTTCTAGAGCTGTCTAGAGCTGTGGCAGGTAGGCTGGGAATAAGCAGAGGCATGGGAGGAGCCCCAGTCCAGGCCTGGCAGCAGCCTGACACCCAGCGGGGACAGGAGCAGGAACCACCCAGGGAGGACTTGCACTCTTAAAGATCCTTAGAAACAGTCTGGCGAACTGGCTTGCAAAGCCCCAGCAAGCTCACAGGTGCCTTAGGTGCGCTAGTACCAGGCAGGAGCATGGATCCTGCACGGCCCTGTGGGCTATGCAGGGGACAGGTCTGTGGCTGCAGGCAGGAAGGCACCTGTTGGGCTCCTGCTGCTCAGACACAAGCAGGTTTAAGACACTGAGGCTGGATCTGAGCAGGCATGGCCAGGCTGTGTGTGGCATGGGTCCCTGACAGACTTCGGGGCCTCACCAGGGCTGCCCAGGCTCCTGCTATTCTGAAGCATCCACACCCTCAAAGTGTTCTCAGGCCCAGCCCCAGGGTACCACCATTGTAGGGGTGGAACCCTGCTTCTCCTCTGTGGCTTCAGGCTTCTGGACCCTGGTTCTGTTCTGGCACTTTCTGGTGTAATTAAAATTTGAGCTGCCTAGGCCCTAAGTTTTGCCTGGTCTGGGATTCTAAAGTGCAGAAGAGTTTGAGTTGGGAGTGTGAGGGGAATGGGGCTGTACTCAGGGAGCTTTGAGGAACACCTGCAGAGCTCTTTGTCTCCCTGCCTGGAAAGGTGATGGGTACGTGGGGTACAACTGTGGCCCCCCTCACCACTGCCTACCGATAATGCTCACTGCCAGCCCTGACCCCAGTGTACCCAGGACTCTGGGCTCACCCTCTGAGGTCCTCACCATACCCAGGACAGTGGCCATGCTCATCCCCATGCCATGGGTAGGGAAGTGGAAACCCAAGGGAAGCCTGGACCTGCCCAGAATCACACACCTTGGCAACTCCTGGATTCAGGAGTGCCTGCTCTATGCTGAGGACTTCCTGAGAGGATCCCAAATTTGTCCCACCCTCCAAAAGGAGCCCCGGGTTATCAGCATTTCACAGATGAAGAGTCTGAGGCTGAGAAAACCCAGACCCTGCCTTCATCATTCATGCACCCTGTGGGTCATTCCCCTTGCTGGTTGTGTTCCCACGTTCCTCCCTGAACTGGGCCTGCCTCATCTGGTCCCAACACCAGCCCTCCCAACTATCCCAGTTCAGGACATGATGCCATTGAAAAAGTCCTGCACCTGGCTCTACCCTTTCTTTCCAGGGCATCACCGGGGCCCAGGGTACGGCCCTGAGGACTCAGTGCTGGAGAATCTCCACACACCTGAGTCCTGACACACAGTGTCCCATGTGCAGCACCTGCCTGCCTTTGCCCAGGGCTCCAAGGGAGACTGGACTATGACAACACCCAGTGTGTCCCAGGGGAGCCCAGCACATAGTAGGTGCACCCCAAGCCTGCTGCGTGAAGAGAGGCCAGCCCCACCAAAGGAATGCTCTCCCTGAAGCCCCAGGCAGGCCTGTGACCCACAAGTCCTTCTAATTGTCAGTCCCTACTGCGGGAGGGAAGCCTTGCAGAATGGTTGGGGGTGGGTAGGGGCAGTTTCTCGTTATTTCCCAGTACTCACCTTGCACAGACACCTGAGTGCCCGGTCCAGACTTAAACTCCTTATCCGCAGTACCCTCTCTCTGCCACTTCACGCAGTAGTAGGTCCCGGTGTCTGCTGTAGTGATGTCACTGATGCGGATGGAAAAGTCCATGTTCTGTCGCTTTGTGGTGTCTGAGATGTTTGTGACTCGGGGGTACTGGCCTCCCTTAAAGTCAAAGATCATCTTCCGGTCTGGCTCAGCCCCCCTGAACCAGTATATGGGTCCCACGGGCAGCAGGGTGTTTACGCTGCAGCGCAGGATCACCGAGTCTCCAGCTGCCACCGACACGGACTTGTCAGGCTGAGTCACCTGCAGCTCCTCCTCTGCTGCCACTGTTGGGGGAGGAGACAGAGAGCTTGTACATGTGCATCAGTAAGACTCACCAACACAGCTCATATTCAGCACTCTGCACATATCATCTCATTTAACCTTCTCATGGGCCTGTGGACTGAAATGTGATGAAATGAACAAACTGAACAAACTGAGGCACCCTGAGTGCTGAGCCCTTGAGACTACATCTATGTCTGAGCTGGGCAGTGGGATTCACATCTGCATTTATCAGCATGAAGTAGCCCTATTCCTAAAAGAGGGAGCAGCCTGGGCAAAGGCATGGAAGTAGACAGTGGCCTGATAAGTCAGGGGCTCCCCAAGGCACTGGCATCTGAACCTGGCTTGGCTCAGGAAGCAGAACTTGATCAGGGAGGTTGAGTGCGGCCTTTGTGTATTGACATGGAAGAAAAAGTGGGCCTGAGTCAGGGTTTGGAGGCTGACAGCTGTGAGACCTGAGGCCATCTCTCAGGTGACTGAGATGCCCCCAGGACCTGCACCAGTGTCCCCAACCATGGCAGCTGTTGCGCAAAGGGAAGCATGACCTCTGTAGGCCTCACAGCCCTGGCCCATCTGTGACACAGTAACACAGCTCCTGTGAGTCCAACACTACCAAGCTCCAGGAACAGCAAACGTGCTGGGGGTCGGGGAAGGACATGTCACAAACAAGAGTCCAGTCTTAGAAGCCATCAGATCTAGTTTGAAACCCTGGCTTACCCATTACTCCCATGGGACCCTAGTTTCTGCACTGGTTTTAAGCTTCGGTTTCTATATCTATAAATAGGTGGGACACCCCCTAGCCTTCTGCCTTGTTCTGAAAGCAAAACGAGATCGCACCTAGAAGGAAGGAAGGAAGGAAGGAAGGAAGGAAAGAAAGAAAGAAAGAAAGAAAGAAAGAAAGGAAGGAAGGAAGGAAGGAAGGAAGGAAGGAAGGAAGGAAGGAAGGAAGAAAGAAAGAAAGAAAGAAAGAAAGAAAGAAAGAAAGAAAGAAAGAAAGAAAGAAAGAAAGAAAGAAAGAAAGAAAGCCCTTGGCCCTGAACCATGACGGGGGAGGCTGTCACAATCGTCAAGCAATGCATGGATACAGGCTGTGGCTCACACCGCATCGCCAGCAACCCTCACTGAGGCCTCTTAAGTCAGGCCTGTCCCAGACACTAGGAACACACAGAAGTTACACCCAGTCCAGGCCCCCAGGGTTTGAGCTGTGTAGTTGGAAGGAGGCCCTACAGGTGAGCTACAGGAAGGGAGCCCCATGATGGAAGACTCTGGAGGTGGGTGAGACAGGGCCCCAGGGTAGACAGAGTGGGAGTGCAGGGGAAGATGCAGGGAGAAGCCAGGAAGGACGAGGTAGCAGGAGATGCTTGGGGTTTGGGGGGTGTGGACAATAGCTGTGAGGCAACAGCCTCTGAGGCTCAGCCAGGCTTCTGATTCCAAACAAGAAGGGGTGGGGGGCACACACTGGGTCCTCAAGAATGAGGTGCCATGTGGACACACTGCTCAGTGAAGGAAACAGGGGTTTTATTTGCCCTTTGACCCTGGGTGAACATCCTCTCTGATCCACTTTCCTCATCTGTTACATGGAGCTAACCCTGGCACATCTGGGAGTTGGCATAGGCCTGGAGCAGATCATGGTTATTATTATCCTTATCAATAACACCGGGCCATGAGTCAGCAGTCAGCGAGGGAGCAGCGAGCGGAGCGACGGAGCAAGCTGGGGCCTGCAGTCACACTCCGGGTGGGTGACAATAAAATCTGCAATCCAGTAGATGCTGTCCTCCACCCCCAAACTCCGCCTCCTCCCCCCCAGCTCCTTACAGCTCCTCAGTCTCTCCACCAACTGCAGCCAGATTTAGGCAGCTTAATTAATTAGCTAGTGTTTATAAAGCGTTTGAAGAATTTTAAAAGTGCGACGTAAGTGCCAAATATTATTTTAATCTTGGTATGTGTTTTTTCCAGCAGGGAGGTTTTTTTTTTTTTTTTTTTCTTCCTTGCCTGCTTTCTTTTCTTGCTCTCGGCAGGTTCTGTTCTGGGAACCGGACTTGTTAAAAATCTCTTCTGTGGTCCAGATCCGGGGTCACTGGGCCAGCATTGCCAACAAAACCATTTCCTGTTTTCTCTCACCCTCCTGGCAGGATGAAGCGGCTGTTCAAGGGGACAGAGCCATCTTCTGGAGTGGAGGGAAGCTAGGCAGGCTTTCCCAGGCCCTGAAGGGGAGCGGAAAGCCGTCTGGCGGGCTGGACTGCAGGTGTGGAGTAACCTGCTTTCCCTTCACACACGTGGTTTCCTGCATAATTTTGAAAAAGCCAGGGAAAACCTGAATGCCCAAGGATAGGGGATGGTTAAGTGGGTCATGGCCTATTCCCTCCCTGGGATGACGACCACCACACCAAGCCACTATTCTGACTGTGGCTAATATGGAAAATTGTTTTTCATAGCCTATAATTTAAACTTACACTTTGGTTATGTAAAATAAAAGCTGTTGATCGCAAAGTATTTAGAGATAACAAAAAAAGTATAGAAACAAAATAATCTCATATCATATCATCAGTGATCATTACAATCAACATTTTCATGTGAGCTAGTTAAAACATGAGTGAATCCAAACAAGGTAAAATCACACCTTTGGATCATCAGGGATGGGTGTAGACATTCTGCTTTCCTCACGGAAATGTTCTCATCAAAACAAGAAGTAGGGACCTGGAGCAACAGCTATGGCTCTGTGGTTAAATCCTCATCTTGTACCAGTATCCTAAAATGGACGCTGGTTTGAGTCCTGGCTGCTCCACTACCCATCCAGCTCTCTGCTTATGGGCTGGGAGAGCAGTGGAGGATGGTCCAAAGCCTTGGGACCCTGCACTCATTTGGGAGACCTGGAAGAAGCGCCTAGCTCCTGGCTTTCAATGGGCTGAATTCTGGCTGTTGTGACCTTTTGGAGTATGAACCAGGGGATGGAAGATCTTTCTCTCTGTCTCTCCTTCTCTCCCCATAAATCTGATCTGCCTTTCCAATAAAAACAAACAAAACCTGAGAAATTGGGAATATTCTACCATGTGAAGGAGAGACGGTGGGGTGGTGAGTCTGTGATAGCCAAGTCATCGCTGCGGTGTCTGATGCTGGACAATGACAGTCCTGGGGAGAGGAAGACTCGGCCCAAGGACTCAAGGTCTTGGGGCAGAAGGGCACTGGAAACATGCTGTCAGCCCAGAGCTGGTCAGCAAGGGACAGATTCAAATTGAGGGCAAATTTACCAAGAAAATCACAAAAGGATGGATGGTGATTAATTTTAGGTGGTAAGAATACCCGGGATTTTGCTTTTATGGGTTGTTTTCTGTTGGCATTACTTGTGCGAGGAAAATAAACGGAAAGAAAAACTCTGCTTTCATTGACTGTAAAATAAAGTAAAGCTATACATGAGCAATGGCAAGGCACCATGCAAAGCTATAAAATGTGACTCTCAGTGGGCTGTGAACCTATAATTGATGGGGCTCTTCTCTTTTTTTTTTTCCCCACCATGTTGAGTATTTTTTAAAGGTATTTTAAACTGCATCAACATGAAAGGGTATTTACAGTATGTCACTGTACTAAAAAATGTGTACCAGCAATGTGCATGTCACCTATGTGCTAACTGTTGGGATGAACAGCCTGTCTGTTCGCTGCTTTTTCCCCAGCTCCTAACACTTTGCTTGGGAGATGTTTAGGAAGTCCTTGCTAGCTGCAGTACCAACCACATGTGCAGAGAAAAGTGTCTAGAATGAGAAGGCAGACTCCACTAGGTCATGATGTGTCAGCCCAGCAACAGGACTGGGGCAGGCATATGTGCTCATAAAGTCACTGAATCCACCAAAGTTTTTTTTTTTTTTGGCTTTGTTTTTGCAGTGTATATTGATTGCTTTTGGAAAAAACAAAAGTAATGAAATTAGACACGTGAGTGCACTGTCTAAGGGAAATAGAAACCGCCTGTGTGTGACCTTGTTGCTGGAGAAGCCGGCACCCACAAGTCCCAGGAGCCCACGTCATAGGGAGGCCAGGGACAGGTACGTGTATCCCGGGGCATACCAGGCTCTGGGTGAGGACTTACAGAGTAGCTGTACCTTTGTCCCCCTGGCACCTGCATGTGAGTGGGAAGACAGACTTGGAAGAAATCATGCAAGTGACTGCTTTACAAGGAGCCCCAGCTTGCCCAGAGATGGCAGCACCAGCCCGTGTCTCTGCCCCCAGCTCCCACCCTCTGACCAGCTGCCCCCAACACTCCTTTCCTTTTCTCCAGTTGGTCAAGCCTGTGTGAAACACCACCCAGAGATGCAGCAAGGTAGCATCTCTGAAAACAGAGCATGGGACTCAGACATCTTTGATGTTTTTTTTAAAAGCCCATGTTCAGGGTCTGGTGTTGTGGCACACCAAGTTAAGCCACTCCCTGTGGTATCCACATCCTATATGGGAAACGATGCAAGTCCCACCTGCTCCACTTCCGGCCCAGCTCCCTGCCAATGCACCTGGGAAAGCAGCAGAAGATGGACTATTGCTTGGGCTGCTGCCACCCATGTGGGAGACCCAGCTGGAGCTTGAGGCTCCTTGTCGCCACTTGGCCCAGTCCTGGCCATTGTGGCCATTTGGGGAGTAAACCAGCAGATGGAAGATTTCTCTCCTTCTCTGTTCCCTCCTCTCTGCAACTCTGCTTTTCAAATACATGAATCTTAAAACAAGAACAAAACAAAACAAAAACCACAATGTGGCTTTGAGATTAGAAAAAAAAAGGGGGTGGGTGGGATGGGAAACAGCTTTCCTAAGGAGTGGGAAGATAAGCACAGATGATTTCCTAATGAAACCCAAGGCAACTTTGGAGCAGAAGCTGAAGGGAGGGGCCGTGCTATCGCACACCAGGGTGTGAAGTTTCCAGGCTCCGCTTCGCTGGGCTAGGGAGAATCTAGCTGGCCCAGACATACCCCCACAGCCAGCTGGGCCCAGGTGGCTACACACTGCCTCTGGCCCAGAAGCTTGTCCAAAA